TTCTCTTTTATTCTTATTTTCTCTCTTTTACTTATTAAGACAATTAACTAAATTAAAAGTAAAAATAAAATAAAATAAAATTTTCTTTCTGTTCTTTTTTTTATTTGGATAAATAACTAAATTAAAAAATAAAATAAAATAAAATTTTCACATTTCCCCCCTCTAATTTTTTATAATAAAATAGAGAATTTTTTTGCTTTTTTTTCTTTTTCCTTCCATTATTTCCAACCCAAACATATTGTTAATGAATTACTTGTGTTTATTGATTTATTAATAATATTTAAATATTTTTAAAACATGAATTAAAATACTATATTTTTAAAGTATGAATTAAGATTTTTTTTATCATTCTTTATGATACTTTATTAAAATTACGTAATTTTAGAATAATTTTTTTCTTAATTTTTAAGAGATAAGACGAATAAAACACTAATTTCTTTTATAAATATTTCTATACTTTTTTTTTTATAAGTCAGCTTAAAAATCCACGTCTTGTAAAAATTATCAAATCCAGACATTTAACGGCGAAATCTGTACTTCAAGAGTTGCAAGTTTTAGCTTCACTCTCAAGTCCCAAAAAAAAAAGAAAAAAAGAAGAAGAAGAGAAATTCAGTTGGGAGTTGGGGGTAGGGGAGGGAGAAATGGGAATAAGGGAATCGAACCCCAAAGACCACTTGAGTTGGGGGTAGGGTTCTCTTTCAAGTCCTTCAGAAACTACTAAAAACAACTTTTAAATTGAAAAAATTGTGTTTGGTCTATCTTTTAATGAATTTTAATCTTCTACAAAATGATCTCATTAGAAACTGGGCTCAGGAAGCACCAGCCTACAGTATACTGTACAAAATTTGGATAACCCGTCTTCCTATGTCAAACGGCCTAAAACTGGCCCAGTTCTCTCCAATCCTGTTTTGCGCATGGAGATGTACGAGCTGGTGGGAAGGCCTTTTTGGGCCTAAAAACTCTAGCTGCACCAAACACCAGAGCTTGTGAAAAACACAAGTCCTTCTCAAGAGCTCATTTTCTCCCATTTAAGAGCTATTTAGTATGACTTGTGAGAGTTTTTATTTTTTTGAGTACTGTTATAAGTAATAAGTTTAAATTTTTATTGAAGGAAAAATAAAGTTTTTGATTTTAGAGATATGAAAAAGTAAGTGAGAAGTTAGTAAAATGGGAGTTTATGAAAAATTTGGATTTAAAACTTTTGAACTTTTATTGTTTAAGACTTTTTTAAAATTAAAAAAATATTTACAAGTATAAATTTTTTTTAAAAAAATTTAAATTTATGAAATATAAATCATGTCTAAAAGCTGAAACTTCTTGAAGCTGATTCAAAGAGGCCTTAATGCAAAGTTTGAGAAGCACGAATTTCATGCTTGTGCGGCAACTTCTACTTTTTGGTTTAATGAATTTTACTCACTCTTCCTATTTTATCCTCACATTTGCTTCTATTTAAAAAAAACCCACTATATATAGGTTCCAATTATAACATCCCACCGTTCCTTTCTTGCGCAGCCCAGGTTGATGTGTTTCTTCCTATCTTCTTAACGCTCTTCTTGCTCATCCAACCATCTTCTTCCTCACCCAACATCCAACCATCTTCTTCCTCATCCAACCAGACACCTAGGATTATTACCAAAAAAAAAAAAAACCAGAGACCCAGGTGCTGGGTTCGCCACGAACCCAGTGAACCCAGGTGATGGGTTCTCGGGGGCAAACCCAGGTGGCGCTGGGTTCGCGCGGGCAAACCCAGGTGGCGCTGGGTTCGCGCGGGCGAACCCAGTGCTGGGTGCTGGGTTCACGGAGGCGAACCCAGGTGTTGGGTGCTGGGTTCGTCGACGAACGTAGAGGTAAAAAAAAGAAAAAAAAAAAAAACAACCGAAGGAAGAAGAAAGGGGAAATAAAACAAGTACTCTGATCAAACAATAATATTTTTAAAATGGGTAGGCGGCAGAAACAAAAAAAAAACATTTAAAATATATATATATAATAATTATGTAATTAAATGATGTTTAAAATTATAT